CCGGGCCGCAACAGCTCGCCCTCCTTCTCCAACACGGTGCGTGACGCGCCGCCGGCCGGCCGAGGAGCGGGGGCGGGCGGGTCTGGTTCGGGTCGCTGGGAGGGCCTGATGGTTTATGGGCGGTCACGCCATTCAGAAGCCACCGTCTCGAAGCCAGCCACAGAACCACTATTGTGCAGATGGCCTGACGTCTCTGGAAATGGCTGCAAAAAGGTGTATTACGTGATGTGATTTTCGAGTGCGCCGTGGCTGCTTTGTCTGGCGGGGCTTGGTAACGGGCCTACACAGTCACACTGAGCTATATCGGCACACATCCTGTATTCATTTTGATCACGTCTGTCGTCAACGGCCGCCGGATACTGCCCGCCCACCCATTTACCGTCCCAAGGGGCCAATCGTATAAAGTGCCGTAGGTACTTTCCTATGCACGGCATTTGGTAGCATATGCAATGATGCTGATATTGACAAATGTGTATCTGACTAGAGAACTCTATTCCTGGGAACAACAAATTATGATGGACTGAATTGCTTACAAACATTTTTGCATTTAATAGGCGTTTGTTATAGCTGAACTTTTGCACCAGCGATCCCAAACCTTTGGTATGACACTTGTCGCGAATGGATCCAGGGACCGTCAGACCCGCCGTCTGACATTCTCCTGCCCTCGGCGGCCGGCAGGGCACGGTGCCGGCAGCGCCGCCGCCGCCCTCCAGCGTCACCCGGAAACGGAAAATCGAAAAGGAGGAGAAGGACAGTGCCGAGCGCGAGGGTCGCAAGACGCGCACCGACCAGCACCACGGCGGCGCCGGCCACGGCGTGCCGATGGTGTTCGAAAAACAGTATCTGCGCGTCGAGCACTCGCCTGTCGACGGTGAGTGGTGGCCGGCGAGTGGCGACTCTCGCCGGCCTGCCCGGTTTTTGTCTGCTCCGCTCTCTGAACACACGCTTGAGTGTCGTTGAATGCAACCCTTTGGACGGCAGCAGGTGCGGCGAACGCAGGCAATAACAACGCAGTTGCGCCCATAATTCCTAGTAGTTAAATTAAGGCAATGATAACACAAGGATTAAGGATATCAAGCATTCATACCAGACGTAGTCCGAATAAAATATTTACCCCAATTACGTTTAGATAAATGTGCTAGGGCATTCATAAGAAATTATCAGCGAACATCTTTCAGCATAAGGCACATATCTCGTGTTTGGTGATGCTTCCAGGCCAACATTAAGAGTTAAGACGCTGGAAAATCATTTTGGCGTTCATTGACCATGCATTTTTGTCGTTTAACCCGCGCCCCGCTGGGGCTCCTGGATTTCCACGCCCTGCTAGGGGGGAGGGGATTGAACATCCCTTTTACTTCGGTTCCTGGTCCACGTAGCGACACGTGGTAGGCGTTGCTCGAAAGAGCGTCAAAACTAATGACGAATTGATTCGGCTATTTTTTAGATCATGTCAACGATCAGGTTACCAGACGTCACCGAAGGTCAAATTTCGCCTATTCTGATTATTTTTGACAAACCAGCGCATATCTCGGAGATGAATAGAGCTCCAGCGCCGCAGAGAAGCGCATTTGTTAACCCTGGTAACGTTCTTTCTGAACAATCCTCTCAGATCCAACCTAAGATCGACACCCAACGCTTTGGCCTGCAGGGGGCAAAAACTACCAAGTACCAACATAGGCGTTTTCATTGCAGAAGCGGTTTTTCTGCAATAACTTTTGACTAAAAAATGCACGAGAAAACTTGCATGAGCTAACTTTTGCCGGTATCGTGTTCCTCTCGTCGAGACGTGTCGAATGAATTATAATTTGACGTTGAAAGGTAAATTTGAAAATTTGACCTCAGTTCAAGATCATGACATGAGCGAAAAAGGTCGTCTTGCATATCAGTCGATCTGTATCGTCGAGCTGAATACATGTAAGGTGTTTTCATCGCTCTATTATGCCTATATCAAAAATGATAAGCAAAAAAAAAACTGAAGAATACCTTTCGCGACCTGTGGTGACCTCAGGGACATAAAGAGAGTTCACGAGCTTAATCATTCAATTCGATACCTTATATTTATATGTTTATAATGGATACTGGAGAGAAAAAAATTGACCTGACGCTAGGTCACCGATATCAAAATTCCGAGATATACACCTTTTACGCCCAATTTAGGCGGCAGTGCTGAGTGCACACAGTTCAGTAAAAGTGCAGGTGATTTCGACAGTACGGCATAGTCTGTCAAGTGTCAATAGCGAACTGTCGAAATGGGTTGCGCCATTACTGAACTGCACTATGTCACTATTTGCACTATGCACTATGTCTGCATAGTATTTGCATTTGCACTAGTTATATGCACTATGTCTGTATTTGGCTGTAAAAAGGGATACAATTTATACATACTGTTGGTCTTATCAATTGCTGAAAGTTTCAAAGGGATCCGTCACTCGGTGGAGCTATGTCAAGCACTGAAGTTCCAGTTCTGAGGTGAAGTCACTTGACGTGACCTGGTGACCTGACCTTGAGAGACCTGGAGCTGACATTTTTAAATGTGCAAAAAAAGATGCATGATAAGGTGTGCCAAGCGCCTCCCGTTTTGAGGATATTCGCAACAACCCGCAAGGAGAATGTTCTTACCCCCCCCCCCCAGCAGGACTGGGGTTAATGAGGGCGTGTTTTGTGGACCGAGATCATCCGATTCAGGTCATAAAGGCAGACATGCGCCGTCCTGGGTTGTAAAATTGCAGAATGGCCATTGCCGGCGAGGTTTAATTACACTGAAGGACATATTTGTTGTCTCCGGCGAATGAAGTGATGGGGAGACGAATATTCTCGCTTTTTTCGCCGGTAAGCACAAACCCAATGCGCATATTTAATGATATTTTCTAAGGTACATATTTTCATCCAGTTAAAAATGATTTATGTATGATGGAGACCTGCACTCCTTATTATTAATTAAAACGTCTGACATGTCTTAACTTCGCTGTGATTATAAGGCCCAGACTATAAGGCCCAGACCCCAGACTGTTTCCTGTTTTCATTGAAAATGGAAAACGCAGCAAAAGATTAAAACTAAGAATTTTTAAAAACTGCGAGCAAAGCTATGGACATTGCACAGGTATCCTACAAAATGGCTCTGTTGGCCTTTCCATTTTACTTAGGAACACCTTTAATCGGATCTATACAGTGCACTGAGCCGGGAGCTTATTTACATGATTTCAATCATGTGATGCCCGTCCGAGCCGGTTAGTGCGCCGCGAATCGCGCTGGTATGGTGTCCGTCAATAGGCCGTATAGCTGTGGCGTTACCGTGTCATTGCGGACGTCCACGGCGCGGTCTCCGTCGGCGCCCGGCGCCTGACGGGAGGCGCGCTGTGCCTCGCCGGGGGCGGGAGCGCGGCGCCAAGTCTCGCTGCTAGCGCGGATACGCTGACAGATGAATACGCCACCGCGGTAACTGGTGACACCTCGGCTATACGGGTATTCCTGTCCACGGGCTCCCCACCCGCGCTGGAGCGAGCATCCGTGTGCTGACGCCTGTTGATGTTTTGATGCTAATTACTATGCAATGTCGTGAGAAGTTTGCAAACGGACAAGCACTACATGGCGCGATGTACCGTATCATTGGTTTCTGAACGCAATGCTGGTACCGTAATATTAATATCAAACCTTTTTGTGTGTGGAAAATTATGTGTTGCCTGGATACTTCTGTCGTTCTCACTTCATACCGATAACGGAACAAATATATTCGAATACCTAGTTTATGTTTGCCTTAAATACAGGCACGACCGAGCATGCGTAGCTGTTGTGACAATGTGACGTACATCGAAGTTGTCGATATTAAACGAATAGAGTTACAGGCTGCTGTAACGAAAGGAAAAAGTGGCATCCTGCACGTGTGCACGGGCAAAGTAAGACTACGACTGGCTTGTGTTGGTCACTTGTCTACGCACTCCCTACTAGCGTGGCTACCCACTTCAGAAATTGGCCTATCCGTTACCAGCATCTGCGATGCTGGGCTCCGCATCGCGGGACCGCAGGTTGTTTGAGCAAGCACCTCTGTAACGCCGCAAAAACGCCCGCCGCCAAACGAGAGGATGAGCCTTGCACGTGCAGATCGGAGTGCGTGTTCTACGAACTGACGTGCACTGCACTCTACGCCGCCAACCGCAAAACGCCGCAAAAAACGGCCGCCCGCCGTCAAACGCAAAAACCGCAAAAATGCGCCCAACCGCCGCCAACCGAAAATAAACCTTTTACCGAAAACGACGCAAAAACAAAATCACCCGTTTCGCGGCGGGCGGGCGATGGGCGAATTTTTTATGGGCGATTTTTTTAGCCAAACTCAGACTCGGGCTCTGAGTGCAGCCTGAGTTATAGATGTCGCTGTCGTTCAGCCACTGAAACAAAAGCGCCACGATTACCGTCAAATCATATTTCCTACGCGGCCGAGAAAAAAAAATGAAGCGGAAAGTGAGTAAGTAAGACCTACCTGACACACGGTACAGTTGTTTTGAACATCACCAGTTGAACCACGAGGCATCCATATTCCATACCAACGAAAAGTTTTCCATCTCTTGGTATATTAGCCGTAGGCTAATATTCCAGGCAGCGGCACGAGGAGCCGGATGGAGGAAACATGGATGCACGCTTGGTAAGGGCTGGATAGTATATTAGGACGTGAGCTTTACCAAAAGGCATCCACGCACCGCGCTGCCCGCCCTTGACGCAGTTAGCAAAAAAGTTGGCTCCAAATGTGATAGCCATCTTTCAATTACGTTAATTCAAGTTCGAAAGATGATTGGTGTTACTAAAAAAAGACTACGTCAAGAGCCCGTTACGATGTAACGGAAGACAAACCAACCACTCCACACCTAGGCAGTTTTTCACACGCATTCCTGCATTCACACTCGCCATTTCGTGCACCGGCCTGCCCGCTGCACAACGTAATATCTATGGCAACTATACTGTCTAAGGCATGATTGTTGCTCCTAATGGTTTTCTTTTTTCAGAGACTGGAGTGTGCTTTACATGAAAATATAATGTAGTAGATGATACCTGCTCATTTCATCACTAAACGTGTGAAATGTTCAAATCATGTTGGCATGTGGATAAGATCCGAGACTAGGAATTTAAAGTGTAGAAATGTCGGTGGCTGCTGGACGCATCTGCAACTGAGCTCATGGTCCTAATCATCCGCGAAAGTGACGAAACTACAGGAATGTCACGATAAAGATGCGCAGTACCCTGTATGTTCATGGCATACAGCTGCAAGCTAAGACAAAACTAGAAACGATCTTTGGGTAGAACATATAAAGTGAAGCAATACCAATGCAGAACTACTTGGAGTCACAGGAACCAGTGTGTCCAACATATCAATCAGCTAACATGTAAGGACGCATGTGTAAGGCCGCATGTGCAACTGTAATCCCTCTTGATCGACTACAAGAATGGAAAGAAAACGTCAACGGAGTAAAACTTCACCATGTGAATCTGCGTATAACTGGCATTCGTGATCAAGTATGCACAACAGATGTGAGGTGAGGACGCAGTGTCATTGCGATACAACATCAACTGATGCAATATTGAAATGCATTTTGCACTCATTCATGCATATTGATAAGATCAAAAGTAAGGCGATAATGTGGATAAGTGTGTTGACAGATGTCGAAGACTGACGGTGATTACGAACTGCTTAACAGGCGACCGGATTGACGGTGATGCGCCTGACCGATCTTTGGAGTGCATGTCGCATCTGATGTCTATGGAAAACGGCAAAGGAGAAAACAGGACTATGATGAAGGGCTGTTCTAACATCACATAAAACGGGAATGAGCAGTAACACCTGCCAATGAAAGCAGTGAAAAACAGCGAAACTGCCTGTTTATCCTGCCATGGTGCTAATGCCCAAAGTCAAGTTTTGTTTGTGTGTGTGTGTGGAAAGCGGTAGGGCCCTATGCGCTAAGCTATCATCCGTTTTAGCTTTGGTATCACAATACAAGTATTAGGTGCTCGCACACTACTGCCAGTAGTTCAGTCGGTACTGAGTAGCCCGCAGCTAATAACAACCTGATATTTGCTTCCTGCACAAACGTAGATGGCGGCTAGCATTATGGAAGTGTCTTTACATGATGAGTCTGATCGACGATGATGAATGAAATAATCATTTGAACTCGTTGAAAGATGACGATGTCCGGGTCACAACGAAGTGACTTAAAACTTGCAGGATGAATAACTGATGATTGGGCCGATGAATGTGGCTTGTGCTGCAGCCGAGGCCTGTGGGGACGGACGACCGGTGAGGTACAAATGGAGCAAGGAAACGAGACGTGAATGTACACCAAGCACAATGATATTTAGCTATCATAAGCGTTGACAATGGTGAATAGTCGAGCTGTTCGTCATATTGAGCCTTCACGTCATAGCCATTGCAATATCAAGCTCCCCAAATTGTCATTAGCTTTCGCAGCCCAAGTCCAGTATTGAGTGCTCAAAGAACTTGCCAAGGCAATATAGCTGTGAGCAGCCCGAAGTTCATGGACGGATGATGACCTTTCCCTCTAGCAAAAAGTAGACGACGTCCAGCGCTATAGTCGAACAGTGCCACTGCCAGAAAGGGAGAAGGTTTGCGAAATTCGGTTCGAATATCGGGAATTCGGGAATTCGGTTAGATGGTTATGGAATGGACCATATTAACCCGCGCCCTGGTGGGGGGGGGGGCTATTTTTTGCCCCCCCCCCCTCCAGACTTTTCGATATATCTCCAGAACCGCTGCGCCGATCGTAACCAAACTTTCAGTACCTTCCCGGACATCAATTTTACATATGGTGACCAAAATTTTTTCCAAAGGCTATGATAGGTTGGCCGGAAATGACGTCAGAGTGACGTCATGTTCTGCCGTTTTCGACCCAAAAAAGGGTTTCGCGGGAAGAGCTGTCAGGCCTATAGCTTTGCAAATACAGAAAAATGATAGCGACATAAAAGCTGTAGAATTGAAAGGGCTACAAAACTGCTGTCTCGGATTTTTGAAATTTTTGGATTTTGACCCCCAAAAATCAAAAAATAATTTTTTTGGATATAATGATCGAAAAATCCAAAAAGTTTTTTGAATTTCACAAAAACCGGAATATATGTGATAGTCCTTACCGCCTTCCATCCACATACCAAATTTGAGATTGATACCTCTTTTTTGGCGAAGTTATAGTGAAAAAACTGTTCAAAATTGATGACGTCAAATTTTCAAACTCAATTTTTAGCAATTCTAGACCCCGTAGCGCAAAACAAAGACCACCATTAGACTCCCCGTGACGAGCTGCATCGAATCAATACCCATTTTATGCAAAACTATCAACTTTAAAATTTGACCTTTTTTGGCCTGACCTTGACCTGACCTTGACCTAAACTTCACCAGAAAGTGACCTAAGCCGTACCTGATAGTCTTATAACCAACACCATTGAGTTGGAAATGAAAAATTGGCCATAAAACATGCATCACACAACCTTAGTAAAGTTGGGCTCATGTGACCTGACCTGTGACCCTTGGTGACCTGACCTGTGACGTGACCTAATATTGTCAGTGACCTCTAATAGCAACATATCTACTAGGCAACTGACGCCCTATCGCTGATTCTCGACAAAATGCGTTTTCCTCGGTGTTATAGCGCATTCCTTAGAAGACCCGTGAACGGTGAAACATTTCATCTTTGACCTGACCTGTGACGTCATCGGTGACCCCGAGGTCAATGAAATTTGGTTTCCTTCGACGAATTTGACAGGCCTTTCGAACGCCGTTTGAATTTTGCGGATCCGTCCAGTAGTTTCGGAGATACGAGGGGGGGGGGGCAAAAAATAGCCCCCCCCCCACCAGGTCGCGTTATAAACAGACCCCACCAGGGCGCGGGTTAAGGCATTTAGAATATCCTGCGCACGGTTTTCCTGAAAACCTGAAAACCGTAGATAGTGGGAAAATCTCAGGGGGGGGGGGGCGGAAATCCGCCCCCCCCGTCGGTGCGCGGGATATATTTGATTGATATGTGTAGGCACTGCTTTAAAAATACAGTAAAACACTGAAAACTAGTGATGTCAATTACGGAAAATCGGAATACCGATACCAAACCAAATACCAACCAAAACCGTGGAGAAATATACCGAAACCAAACCAACTTGGGAACATGAGGAAAAAACCAACTTTTACCGATTTCTTAGCCTCTTAGACATTAGCGAGGGTTCATGATACCAACAAAATACCAAACACATTAGGATTGAAATACCAAATACCGAGTTGGTATCGGTTTGGTATCGGTATACCAAAAAGTTGGTATCCGACTGACATCTCAACTGAAAACCAAAGCAACGTTGGAATGATTTTCCGTAGGTATGCGTTTAGTTAGCCAAGCAAACAAAGTCACAGGCTCTTGCACATATTACAGAGTGCTCCGGCACTGGTGTAACAAACAACTCACTTGCACTGGGGTTCGGGCTCACAGAGTAGATCCAACAGATAACAGGTCGCATTCAGCATTGCGCCGGACACTGCTGAAAATGTTGACAAGTGTCTGTCAGTAAACGCAAACATCAATCCCAATAGATAGGTACATGAAGACGATGACAAACATGTTGGCATTGTGTAGGAATGAGGACAGTAAATGATCACACAAAATGTAAAGCATTCTGCAACGTGTTGACAATGGACATTCAAATATGAATACATACCAGCCGTACGCAAGTGTCTTCGAAAATGTTGATCTCTTGATGGTGATGGAGAAGGTGTATCACGTCCACAGGCTTCAAGAAGTCGATCCATTGTCCGCATATTGTTAAATTTGGTCATCACATGTCCGTTTTCAACGCATCCGTAAACCGATGGCGAGAGCATTTAAGAACGTTTGAGCATGTGACTGAAATACTCAAAGACACAAGTTGGAGGAAGGAGCAGGCGAAAAAAGAAAGATAACAACACAGTGTATGAGCATCGTGTTCCAGTGCTAAAAATATAACTGAACAGGAAATGCAATATCATGTGTGGATCGCTCATGAGTGTGAACACATGCTTACATAGATGCATACCTACACTATACGAAAACATGACCGCTTTTTACGAGTGATTAACTGCTACATTCAGTGAACTGCATCATGTGGTACATGTTTGCGGGCGGAGCATGTCTACCGAATTCATCGGCAATACAATTAAAACAAACACACACATACGTAGAACTAGATGATGAGAGCTAGTGTAAGCGGGTGTACAGGTGGCTAATGTATATCTGCAGATAACTAATAGCTAGTGACAAATAAAAAAGTGCCAGCAACGGCCAGCGCAATGGGTGCTCCGTGATCGACGGTAAAATCTTCAACGGTATCGACGGTAAAGATGACTGGTAATGCACCTGTGAAAATAGGAGAAGCAACGGATGATTAGCTGACATGACAGCAAGTCGAAACGAATCGTCGATAAAATATAATATGTCAAGTCCGCGGATTTCTAAGCTTATGATTTTTCGATTTCGACGACTGTGAGTGAAAATGCATTTCAGATGAGATATTCGATAAATATTACTAAAACCCTTAGAAGTCAATAGGCAGAGGGCTACAAGCCTACTTTATTCAACGTTGAATACCCACCCATAAAGGTCAGTTCATCCGAGTATTACCGCCTCCAAAAAATATTAACGTTTTGTAGGCATACAGTACCGTAAAACCGTTTGGAATCTTGGAGCAGAGCTGTTCGTTAAGTTAACAGCATCCTTTGATAATGAAATGGGCCGGAGGCAGAAACTGGCACTTGAGAATGCAGAGGCAGTCATCACACAGTCCCAGAAGACGTGACTGGACAAGGCGTCCAAGCGGCGCCTGGTCATACACGGTTGCCATTGGATACTGCGAAATCAGCCTGCAGGCACATAAGGACAAGGAGTTAAAGTTTTGAACACGCTTTTCGTTCCCTTGTTGCATTACAAAAAAAAATATTAACGTTGTGTAGGCATATCTGGTTTGGTAGCGTGTACCATTATGCTCCCATTCCACTTACTGGTCACAGATCCAAACTCATGAAACTCCTAGATGCCGTTCATGATGACGAGTGTGTTCAATGAAGCTTATTCTGCTGCATGATGCACTGGTATGGTATGGTATGGTATTTGTAGCTTACGGGCCACCACAGCGTCCTGTATTTGGGCCCGGTTCTGTCGTCCGTCTTCGTTGTTGGTCCGTCCGTTGCCTTGAAGTGTCCGTTGTCTTCTTGGCTCGTAAGGGTGGGCTGAGGGGTGGGACTGGGTTCCTAGCTATCTCCTCCCGGGTAGCCGGATTGCCCCTTCTATTATTTTTTTTTGTTTTTGTTTTTTTTTTTGCCATTTTGCCATTCTGGGGTCTTTTATTTTGATTCTCATTATTTTGAATATTGTTTTTTCTTTTTTGCTTCTTTTTTTGGCTTTTTTGGCTTTTTTTGTCCTTGGCTCTAGGGGAGGAGATTTACAGGTCATTGATCAGCCCAGTGTTGTGTCTTTAGTGGATGAGTAGTGTTGTTAGCTCGGGGTGTAAGTCCCCGAGCAGTGTTGTGAGTGTTAGTGGGATGTTGGCGTCTCTGCAGTATGTTTGTATGTGTGTCCTGTGGTGTTGGTATTGTGGGCATGTGAGTAGCAGATGTTTGACAGTGATGAAAGTGTTGCAGGTGTTGCATTTCGGTCTCGGGCTTCTTGTGATGATGTAGTTGTGTGTGATAGCGGTGTGTCCAATACGAAGTCGTGTGATAGCCCTCTCGTTTTTGCGTGAGTTCATGTTCTTGGTGTGCCAGTGTTCTATGCGTGGTTGAATGCATCATGCACTTCTGGACAGTGATTGATATCCGACTTGCTTGGGCGAGTGTATGCGAGTGATGTGTAGTGGTGACCAATTGTACCAAAAGAAAATGACATTGAGAACATGATTTACAAGCGCAACATGCGGCACAACTCACGTGCATACAACGACAAGAAAAACAGGAAATGTCGTAAATGACGCCATAAAACATTGTATGGCCTACAAATATATCCGCAACGCAATCCTGGCTTGAGCTAATTCAGTACCTACTTTCGCGGGAACACTTTAAACTCATGTAGGTAATGTTCACACGACGCAAGACTCATATACAAACATACAACACTAAAAACACAGAACACGGACATTTTGTAGCAGTATTGCATTGTATCAGCAGCGAGGTGGAAAACTGGCGGCATCTTTGTCTCAAACTACGTGCCAGCGGTGCAATAGGCAGCTGGCATTCAGATCTAGCAATAATGTGTGCTCATGATGTTAATGGCAACTGTGAGGAGGATGAAACAATTCTGAATTTGATAGGACAAAACTGTCTGGCCAATCTGTTCCGAGCACAACTCACTTTCCCTGGACATGCAGAGTATGTGTTGCTGTGAGTTAGGTACTTATCAGATGTCACATCGCTCTGCTTATGGTAGACCTGCAATATGTGACTTGCATGTAAACCCTGCCAGCAGCATGTAGTTTTGCACAATAAAACTGTTTTCTCTGTGTGGGCTTGCATATTTCGTTGGCAGCAGGCAGGCACAATGCTAGTTCCATACACCACTGACTACACGCACTCATGCACGTATTTACTTGAAAACTAGTACCAATTCACTCATTCACTAAATTACGTGTAAGATGACACGCACACCCTCACATACGCACATACATACCCACACACCCACATCCACCCTTACACACTCACAGGCACACATGCTCACAAATACCAATCATTCAGGGTTTCCGATGAGATGAAGTGTGTCTACTGTTTTCTGCCACATTACGTCATCACCAAAAGGATTGAATCAAAAGTATCTAGGGTTAAGAAGCATAAACAATTGCTGACACATACTTGTCACTTACTTCTAATATGCCCTACTGCAACCATAAGATTCAGTTGAACCACTTTGCTCATCTTTACTTTCAAGCTGACAATCAGCATTGACGAATCAGCATTGGTTTGGCCTTCATGAAAGCTTACGTCAATAGCGCAAATAAATAACTTGCTTGTGGACGAATGGCTTTTAGTATGAATGCACATAGGTAAAGTGAACTGCGCACATGCTGTGACAAACTTTTGTTTGCCTAGTAAGAAAACAGTAGACACACTTGCTAGTTTGGATAAAGGGATATTCTCGTGCGTGTAAACGGTTAATATATTCGAATTTGAGGTTGACAAAATGTCAACGGTCGTTTGTGACGAACGGGGACTATATCCCGCGCACCGACGGGGGTCTGCGCCAACTTAGTACCGACGGGGGGGGGCGGATGACCGCCCCCCCCTGAGATCTCGAGAACGAAGCAAGATAGCGACAAGCGGTAAACGGCATCGGATACGCACGGTCAAGATCTACAATTTTTACTAAGGTCATTTTCAGGTCAGGTCAAAGATGACGTCACAGGGGTCGAAAAAGTCAAAATGGCGGCGCTAAATATGGAGAGAGTTTTTCTCGAATAACTCTCGAATTAGTCAAGATAGGAGCAAACTAAGGGCATCATCGTGATCCTCTCGTCAATCCGCATCGAATGATATATGTTGACCTCGAAAGGTCAAGGTCAAAGGTTGACCTCAGGTCACGTGACCTCGAGGTCATCATGTATATCATTCGATGCGTCTTGACGAGCTGAACACAATGAGACCATCCACGCGTCTGTATCTTGTTCCTGTACGGAGTTATTGGCCAAAAACCTTTGGTGACCTTTGATGACGTCACATGACCTCACAGCTGCCCAACAGCAAAACAGACCTCAAGGTAGTGAAGGTTGATCGTATATGAAGTCATGTATGGTATATGGGGCCATTCCGACCCGTTTTAGTGGTAAAAACAGGGAGTTGATTTTTCCCCCATTGACTTATAATGGGGAGGTCACGAAATTGACCTGACCTTAGGTCACCGCTATCAAAATTCCGAGATATACAAATTGTAGCTACTAATGACCTAATAACATCCTGCGACTTTCAAAGGCCTCCGACATCTACTGTAGCTCTGGCACGGTGACAAAGTTGCAAAAAAGTGACTTGAGGTTGGGTCATTCAAAGTGACCTGGTGACCTGACCTTGAAAGGTAGGAGGTTCAAACTTGCACACCATGTGTAAAATTGATAAGGGAATAGTCATACCAAATTTCGCGGCGCTACGCGCCGCGGTTTTCCCGCTATTCGCGAAAAACCTCAGGGGGGGGCGGATATCCGCCCCCCCCCGTCGGTGCGCGGGATATAGTAACAGTTACTGAAGTTTGGAGGACGTATCGACTGCTGAAATAATGTTTGCCAATGAGCAAGAACATCATGCACATGATTAACTAGATACGTTAGTTCCGACTAACATTGCGTCGTAGTTTCGGATACTCCGAATGGAACTTGAAAACGTTAACAAATACTTTTGTTATCGGCCATCGTACAATGCTTGAAACAGTGCCTAAAGCAAACAGTCAACGTCCGTAAATATAGTCTGGTGCAGCATGTGCACTAATGGTATTGAACATGCATGTCGATGACCCGACATGCACGTCATGGACAGTGCAGTATGACGAGAATATCCCTTTAGTTGTTTAGAAGTTGAAGGTCTTGAAGTAGAAGGTCTTGAAGTTGAAGGTCCGCGGAGAAAGCTCGCCACCGTAGACACTATAGCCGGGGATAACAGCAGCAATTAAAATTTCATTTGGCAAATAAGTGACGATGAGGCACAACTGCAAATAATCTTTTTCTTGACCGCCTTCCATCAGCAACGTGCTATAGTACCATAATTGCCAGAAGAAAACCGCTCATTTGCAGCCTCATTTTATAGACATCTGTTGAAGGAAATATATTTTCTTTTAACCTTTAACAAGTCCGCAAACTTTGCTTGGCATGAGCGATTAAGCGCTAGAAGTTGAAGCTTGATCTAACGAAAAAGGAAACAATACTTAAGCTCATGATGCATAGACAAATATGCACTGAGAGTCCGGATGCGGCAGTGAAAGCGTGTGTCAACTGACGCAAGGTTACAATGCTATTTACCGACGAAAAACGCGATTTTGAAGCATTTTCTTGGATAAAGTGAATGTAGACTCAGACGTATTAGGTAATAGTATGCTTGAATAATGAAAAATATCAATTAAAGAGAAGCTTTGCACTCACTCATTGTGCAAATGTAGCAGCCTAATAGCATTTACATAATCTCAATTTTATCTTCAATTGCTGCCGTGATATCTTATCCCCGACCTTGCCTCGCACATGACGACCCGTGGGGGGAGTCTGGTATCCACCGCCAGCAATTGTGCACACTGGTTCGGTGGACTGGACGTAAAATGACGCCACTCTACAACAGACTCATGATCTCCGAGTGAGATCGATCTCCAAGTGAGACCTGGGTTTAGAGGCGCTTTAGCATGGAAAGCTCCTCAAGGCTCCCGTCGCGTGCCTCGCAAATGATACGAGCCATACGCGCCCCCCGGGATTTTAGCCCATGCAGGCTGTTTTTTGAGATGAAGTCTCCACTAACGTTACGTCAGCTTGTGCGTCACCAGTTTCAACAACGAGAATAGTTTATGTTTGGATTAGACGGATGATATGCTTCCTAGCAATGTGGATACATAAATGAACTGTCAGGTAAGCTGAAGCCACCAAAGGTAGATTAGATATCGAACAAGTTTTGTGCAATTTTTATTGCACAGTTTTGTTTTTAAAACAAAGAATGCATTATGCAGTCATTGCTTCGTGCATTCCATTGGAAGCAAAGCTTCTAATCATCGTCTGCAAGTGAACTGATGATTTTAAGAATGGACGGCACAAAAATAGGACGCCGGTATTTGACAGAATACGTTAATTTACACAAATACGATTAAAGGGACCCTCCCACCTTCAAAAAAGTTTATGAATTGGCATAAAAGTGATGTCGCTCGGTTCAGAAAGAGCGAAAACGAATATCTACCAAATTTCACCGAAAAATATTCACAGGTTTTCAAGATATTGGACTTTTACTTTTGTTTACTTTTTGGGATCTCCGCTGTTCCTAGCGACTTTATTTGGAAGCAATAGTTTGGCAGCTCAAAGCAACATATACCACCACGTGCTACAAAACGTTTTAGTCAAACATTTAAAATTCGTTAGATATCTGCGCTGACGTCACACATTCAGAGGGTATTCCTATGCATTAGCCCCTCTGAATCAAATTGCTGCAATTTTGAAATTCAATATTTCCGATTTAAGGCATTTATCGATGTTGTGAGTGCCGAAACTGGTAATTGTGAGCCAGGGACCCCATTTTGGCTATCTCAACTCAAATCTAATGTTAAGGTGGGAGGCACGTTAACATTAGTTTTGAGTTGAGATACCCAAATTGGGGTCCTTGGCTGGAAATCACCGGTTTCGGCACTCGCAACATCGAGAAATGCCTTAGATCGAAAATATTAAGATTCAAAGTTGCAGCACTTTGGATTCAGAGGGGCTAATGCACTTAGATGCCCCCTCTTAAAGGCACTATCCCACCTTTAACATGGGGTTTGAGTTGAGATAGCCAAGTTTGCGGCGAGGTTCAGAAACCACTATCTATCTAGGTTGCAACCCCCGCGGCCTCTTGGTGTTGAAGAAATTCGTTCCCTTCATTTGAAAATGGGCCTTGTGCAAGGCCCTATCTTCAACATGGAGCGACCGTTAGTGTGACGTCACCTCGTTTAGTCATTCTGATTTAAATGGGTTTGTTCGTTGAAAAATCGCTTAAAACTTGGTCTGAACTTTGTTGTGGTGCCTACAGAGTAAAAAGAATCAGCTTTATGGCAGTAATGTGGCCTGGGGAAGGAGGAAATTTTGGGCTGTGACGTCACATATTTGAAAGTTTGTGTTTGGAATATGGGAAGCCTAAGATGTTTAATGAAAAATAAATGCCAGAGCCGTATTCCTGGTCATCCAATCTATAAAGTCGGGCACAATTTAACTGGTTTTAACAACATTTTAGAAGGTGGGATAGTCCCTTTAATGTGTGACATCACCGATTTACTTAAACTTTGGTAAGACAATTTTTGCCATGGTTTTATAGATACTAAATTGCGCGTGACATATCCCGCACTTTCAAGATACCACATTATTGCTTCCAAATAACGTCATAGGAACAGGTAAGGCCCTGGAAAGGGAAAAAAGTTAAAGTCTTATGTCCAGACTGGTGTTTGATTCACCGTGATTGAGTCGAAAGGTTTGATTCACCGTCCGGATGGTTTGATTTTTAAGCCATGATTGAATCAAACTCATTGGGAATCAGGGTTGATTGAATCAAACAAATTAACGATTCATGAACCTTAAAAAAAAAATGAAGCGAACATAGTTCATCAACAAATGTTAACACTACTGCCATGTGATGATAATTGCATACCAACAAAAAGAACACAACAAATACAATACTATCCCTGATATTTATCATTATTTTTAAATATAATGAAAAAAAGAATCGTTCAATAACTTTTTGGCTGAATCAAACGTGAATCATTCCTTTTTTCTCATTCTCTGAATCAAAAGGAATCGATTCACCAATTTTTTTGGAAGGAATCGAACAGTGATTGAATCAAACAAAAAACAAATGAATCAATGATTGAATCGATCCAAAAAAGGTGAATCAATAACCAGTCTGCTTATGGCAAAAAAAAAAAAAAACGAGCAATATTTTAAGCGAAATTTGGTGGATATTCATGTTTGTTCTTTCTGAACCAAGATACATCACTTTCATGCCAATTCGTTAACTTTTCCGAGGTGAGAGGGTCCCTTTAAATTTGTTATTTGAATCAAGAGGTGACGCATGTCGCCGCACGAACGACCCAGCCAGCCTGCCTTCGTGGTTAGCGTGGGAGCTCGGTCCACAACCACGGCGATGATGCCCAGCTGTGGAGCCGTACAAGCACAGGCGCAAGACTAAGCAACCACGGGCAGATCTTCTTTTCAATGTGTGGTGTGTGCACGCCACCACACTCCCCAGCAACAGGGATTTACTATGCAGCAAGGGCGGGCAATCGGAGAGATTGCCGGTACGGCGGACAGCCAGGTGCCCACACCGTACCAAAGTAGATATGCTGGGATTTTTAGCAAGCCCTTGGTCTCGAAGATCTCGAAGAATCTCGTTGGTGTTGATGGCGGACAATCTACCAATTGGAGAGATTGCCGGTACGGCGGACAGCATGGTGCCCATTCCGTACCACGTCGACGGCCCATGTCTCGAATAATCTCGCTGATGTCGATGGCGGACAATCTACCGATTGCCGGTACGG